GCTAGACTAAATGTAATTGTAACATTCAATTATAATCACTGACTTTATGAATTTTCAACTGGTGTTTCAGCTTTTCTTTAACCAGATTTTCATTTTCAAGTTGAAAGATGATGACCATTGTGATGATGATGATGATGATGCTTGAGATGATGGGAAGGTTGTCTCGATGATAATGAGATGACTCAAGTAGACTAAATGTTGTATCAATTTGACAGTTTGCTAAATTGTTGTTAAATTGAATGGAAATTGAAAGATGATGAAGAAGCAAGAAAAGGGAGGAAGATAAGTGATGATGAGGAGAGAGTCTTGAGAACCGGTTCTTGATTGAACGTACCTTTGATGGATATAAACATTTACTGGTTTGAGTCCTTTCTTTATACCTTTTCCTTGTTGTTATTTTAAATAATAAAGTATAATATTGATTCAAGTTAAATCTGTGATGAAAAAGATGATTTTTCAAGTCAATTGGTTGATTCATCTGATTGATAATCACATAAATGGATCACTTTCAACTGTAAATGTTGATCAAGAGTAAATTTGAGCTTGAAATTTGACTTTTAAAGGGTTTAATTGGTATAAAAGTGCGCTTATGTCAGCTGTCAGGGTTTCCCTTAATATATTTTTCAGTGAAATGATAATTATTTTGATTTGTTGATTTGGTTCTATTAATAATAAAACAATGGACATTACAATTTCATTCAAATTAAGGGTTAAACCGATCGTCTAATCAGCAGACCTTTTCTGGTTTCTCTGGTTCATTAAAGTGACTCTCAATTGTAAATGGATATCCATAAAAGGACTTGTTAACTTGTTGATACATTTCATGTAAGAAACACCAAGAACTCTGTTAGAAGATGGAAAAGGCTGAAATCTATGAAAATGGGTTTGATTTACAAATCACACCCAAGGTGTAACCCAACTTAATAGGGAACACAATTTAACCTGATTAAGATCGAGACGATGCAACAATTAAATCATTTGCAATGTTAACTCAACAACAAAAATCTTTAGATAGTCAACTTTTGATCAACTAATAAACAAAAGTCTGAAGTTATTTACATGATTAGAACCTTCAATTGCCCTTGGAAATTTTTATGCTCTCAATCAATTTAGGTTGATTGTAATAATTAACGAAATGATTAACGAGGAAATGCGTTTACCTTTTTTGTCACTTTGTTTCCATTTGTTTTTGCATGGAAAAGGTAAAGGTAAAGGTCGCTTTAAAAGGGTTATTGTTGGCGCTATTTAGATGACCTAAGGTCAGATGAGCAATGAAATGAATAGTTGACTAATTGGTTGAAATGAATTTTATGAGGTTTTCCTTTTTCGAAGCTTACAATTTCATTGATGAAACGCTAATGAGTAACAGGTAGGTGATACAAGTGTGTAGGTTGACTTAAGAACCACGACGACGATGATTATTAAGTTATCATGTTCGTTAATGAATTCAATTACGATTGGCTGACCTTCGTTTGTTCAGTTTGAAAAGCAATAATCGAAATCGAAGATGAATTTCGCTTTTTTTTGCTGCGATTTTTTTCTCATTGCTTCTCATTGTTTGCAAGACTATTTATAGTTTAGTTGTTGTGTGTAAAAATTTTGTCTCTCAAGTTTATTGTTGGTGTTGCTATTGCCTTTTGTTGATGATGGTGATGATAACGATGAAATTGTGGCAAAAGATGCTGCGAGATTAGGTGAAATTCATCATGGAGTGTTTCATGAAAATAACTGAAACCAAGTCAATGGGAAGGCAAATGAACATTTCTGTATTGTCACATAACTTGGAAGCTTGTTTAGACAGCAACAAGATGAGTTAGATGAAGAAGCCAAGATGAGGAAGGAACTAAGAAGAGCTTTGGGGTTTGGCGTTAAAAATACCACTTTCCATGTACTTGGAAACGCTTTTTTTGCCAAAATTTGCAAACTCTGGCATTTTACAGTTTTTTAAGCAACAAAACAAAATAATCATTTCTTAACAATCTGTTTTATCCATTGCCATTCATGTCCAGTTCATCTCTGGAAGAGAAACGGAAAAATACGAATTAAACTCAATATTTTGTCTGTTTTTATGTAAACTCAATGTTAGGCCGATGATGAGTTTTGTTGAAACGGGAAATGGTGAGCCTTCTAGGATCAAGTTGCCAGCTTGTTAGGCAAATGTCAGTGAAATGTTTTACTCTTCAATTTGTACTTCAAAAGGTGTCAGACTCAAGTTAACAGTTCTTGTATGTGGACCGGCCTACCGCGACAGCTTTTAAGGCACCGTCTACCCCTTGCAACCAAGGTGTTTTAACGACCCATAGACGCAGGTTTTTCCAGATTTGCTGGAAATCCACGAGGAAGGGAGGATAGAATAGTCCAGGGGGTTTAACCATGAGTAAGCCCTACTGTATGTCGCCTTAACTTCAGGACTTGGACGAGATTCAAACGCTAACCCCAAGACGCAGATTACAACATATGAAGGATAGCAGTCTTATCGCCAATGCTAACCATTAGGCTAAAATTAAGTTAACAAGAGTCGAGATTTTTTTCCATAGTTGTCATCCAACAAGAATTTTGTTTTTTACATTTTGTTGACACAAAAGTAATACCTGGTACTTGTTGCGTTAAAAGTACAAGCTGAGCCCCCGATCATGGCTGATCGTAAATTTCTTTTCACTGAATACAATAAATTCAATCCACATTTAAAGACTCGAATGGTTGATGAAAAATCATTGTCTATGAGAAAAACTAAAAAAAAATTTCGTTCATTTTGAGAGTTGTACAGTTGAAGCAGCAGATATTTAACTTACTCTTTGGTCGAAAGACAGTTTTACATATACTCCTAACCCAACAATAAACCATCAATCTGAATACAAAAAAAGTTTTTCCCCCAAAGTCAATAGTAAAAGATACGGATTCTGCGTTTTTTCCCCCACCCTGTTTAAACGCTAATTTCTCAGCAACCTAAATTCCGAGAAAGCTCTGACTATTTTTCGTAATTGAAGTTCAATCAGGGCTTTCATTCTATGTAAAAATTTTTTTTAGAACCCGTTTAGTTTGGTCACAATCTTCCCGCAAAAATTTCATAGTTTGACTTTATATATTGTATAGATTAATAGTTAGTCGTGTAAAAAAGTTGGTGAAAAATTGATATTAATATTGACATCATATGTTGACTATTAACAATTAACGAGTCTTTTGCATTTCTAGCTGTCAATAGTAAATTATATTTAGCTTTTAATAATAAATCAAATATCCACTTGACCATTGTATTGGCTCAAGTATATATTTAGCTCAAGTTCAAGTTGAACGGCAAAGCTCATGTTGAAACTGATTAACGGTGTTTTCATAAATGAACAAATAATATCAATACTAATGATGACCACATTGGCTATCAATGGTGATTCGGACAAATATCGATGTAATATTGTTGCTCAATGTTATTAGCCATAATGGTTGTGAAGCAAAAATTTGGACTAATTTTGATAAATAATAATAGCTAATTGTTGCTGCAAGTTTTGATTAATTGCCAGACACAATGTGTTATTTACTGTCAATCCAATTTCACTTTGATAAAATTGGATCCATTAAATTAGATGAAATTTAAATGGCGTTAATCAAATTGTGTTATTTTTACAATTTAGTAAGCTCTTTGCATTTCATTTCATCGTACAATTAATCTTCATCTTCATCTTTATTGTTGTTATTTTGCTCATCATTCAAGTAAATTGTCATCATTTTAATCTGCCAAGCTAATCAGTAACTCTGTGTAAACCTGTGAACATATCATCATGATGAAGACTGAAGACAGTCATAAAACACGAAAATGATGCCAAGTTTTTCAAGAAAATCCTGAAAACAAGTTTAAAATTACAAAATTTTCCAAAAAAATGACGAATATTTTTAAAATATGTTTTTTTGAACAAAATTCAAATTCTGATAAATTGCTGAAATGAATTGAAAAATTGAATGAAAAATGCTTTTTTCAAAACTCAACCATTTAAGTGAGTTTCAAGATGGATTCATGTTTAATTATTCAAATGGTTAAAGTGTGATTCAAATTTTGATGAAAAGTTATTTAAAAAACAATTTTCATTGAATTTTAATTTATCACTTTCATCCAAAAACTCATAACTTGAACATATAACTCAACAAAATCAAGTTGAATAATATGTTCAATTGTCTCAAAACTATTCTTATTTATTTTTCCTTAACTAAACTTAAATATTTGGCTAAATTGTTTGTAAAATTGAAAGGAAGTTGCGCTCAATGAAAATTTCAAAAGTAGCTGTAAAGTGACGCTAATACTACGGTTTCATGATGCTTTAACAATCATGAAATTGTCATGAAATTGTGAATGAAAAAAGGAACCAAAATGATGGTCAAAGAAGAGAGTAAAGAAGAAAATCGATAAAATATTGATCGTCGGAAGAAGATGTAATGTTGTGATGATCAAGTTGAAAGAAAGTGACTGGGAAAGATGCCAAGTGAGTTGATGATGAAGACGATGATGATGATGATGAGGAGCAAAAAAGTTGCTGATGAGAGCGCATGAAATTCGGAGTAATAACGTCATTTTGACGTTGAATGAAATAGTAAAATAGTAGATTCTGATTGGATGAAATTTGGTTCCGGCGTGCCTTAAAAGGAGATTTGTGGTCGTGGTTTTCATTCATGAAAAGATTCAACTAGCAAAGTAACTTTAGCAAAAAAGATTCAGAAAGATTCAGAAACACACAGAACACACACACACACATCCATACACACATCTACGTACAAACACACAAACAAACAAAGTGTGCGTGTGTTTTGTTTTCCTTTGTTTTTGTTTTGTTTTGTTTTTCACTCGTAACTTATTCTTGACAATATCCAGTGATTATTCAGCAATAATGTTTCACATTTCAACGTTATCCTTTTGAGTTGATCAATTATCTCGTTTTAAGTGTCATAAACCATGTGTCTTCATATGTCTTTAACGGATGGCTTTTCTTCTCTTTTCTCGTCTAATTTTATCACAGCCGAAACACTTGGACTCGTCCAGGACAAAAACGAAGGTGACGATAGTATGTACGCTAGTTCCTCAGGTCGACAGGAGGGCAACAATGACCAGTTAAATTATTCAGATAGTACAACCAGCTCAATTTATTTAGCAACTGACTCTGAATCTAATCAGCAAACATCAACATCAACCGCCACTACATCGCCTTGGCTTATCCAAGAGAAACCTCTTTACTCTCCAATAATTAATCTGGTTCCAGCTCAACAATTACAACAATTAGGTAAATAAGAATCAACAATCACGATATTTGTTCACAAAGATATCAATCAATTTTAACTAAATTACAATTAGAATAAAGAAACAATTAAAAATTAATGAAAGATAAACCATAAGTTAAGTTAACAAATCCAACTCAAGAGTAGAGTTATTTTAACCTTTGAATCAACCGTTAATTTGAGGGAAAATAATCCCAAGATGCATAGCTTACGACATCTAGTGGCATAAATTTCTGATTCTCGACTGAAATTATGCAAAAATTGTTGAATGTTTAATGTTTTTCAATGTTTATTCATCAAATTAATGTTGATTAGATTAACAATTAATTTTTAATTTATTACCAAATTTGTAACTTAAGAAAGAGGAAAATATGTCTTATTACAAACATCATCTAAATTGGTAAATTGATTGATATGTTAGCTTGGAGTTGCCTAAACGTTATTAACCATTTTTATCTTTTGTTACAGGTGGTCAATATTCCAGTGGATTAACAACAACAACCACATCAGTTTCCGGACAATCGTCTCAATTGTGTTCAACCCTAAATCCAAGCATGTGTATGGTCTCAGGAACTGGGTCACCACAACCACATCTTCACCACCATGGTCATCATTCAACCCTCCATACACACCATCCTACCCAACATCATACACATCAACACCATGCAAGTCATCAATTGTTAACAAATGTATCACCATTATCAACCAGTGACCATCTTCATTCACATCAAAGCCATCAAACTCACCATCCTCATACACATTATGAATTATCTTCATCCAATCCTCAAGGATCTTCTGATGGTTCCTATTCAACAACAGAACTTTTAAGCTCATTTTCAAGTTCTTCCTTTGGCGATACTTTTGCCATTAAACCTATTTATACCAATTCACCGACAAGGGAAACAGAGCTGGGTGCTTCGCCTCTTGAAAACTCAGCCAATACCAATAATAATAATAGTAATAATAGTAGTAGTAATAATAATAACAACAATAATAATCTAATTAATCCAAATAATGCAACATTGTTAACTAACGATGATCTATTTGGTCGATTATCAGCTTCCAATACTGACTTGACAAGTCAACATTTAGCTAAATATCAATGGTCAACCTTTCCATCTGCAACTGCCATTGTGATTCCTTCATCTGTAACCTCTGGTGGAGCCTCATCACCACCTTCATCATCTTCCCTCCAAGAGTATCAAACGCTTACCTCAGCATCTCCACTTCACCATCTTCATCCAAATTCATCAACTACAATAATTCCTAAAGTTGAGCCAACACCAGACGGTTATGTAACTTCAATTAGTTTATCTTCTACTTCATCATCAAACAACAATACGGGTAACAACAATTCACTAGGAGCCAATCCTTTATATACAACATCATCTTCATCGTCAACAACAGCCACTGTAGTAACAAATACTTCATCAACTTCATTATCTCAACAAAGGTCGAGTAATACTAATAGTAATAATAACAATTCTAACAGTACAAGTGATCAAATAGCAGTTGGTTCAATTGATAATGTAAATAGATCTACATCGACTGGATCAACGGGATCAACATCAACTCCAACCAATGAGGGAACCACTGAAGCCAATTTAGCCGAATATAATCAAGCCACATCAAAAGGCCATGAAATTTTAAGCCAAGCATACCAATCAAGTCCAGTTCCTTTAAAATTGATGCCAGTTAAACCTCGTAAATATCCCAATAGACCAAGTAAAACTCCAGTCCATGAAAGACCCTACGCTTGTCCTGTTAAACCTTGTGATCGTCGTTTCTCCCGCTCTGATGAATTAACTCGACACATTCGTATTCACACTGGTCAAAAACCTTTTCAATGTCGCATCTGTATGAGATCATTTTCTCGCTCTGATCATCTGACAACCCATGTTCGCACTCACACCGGTGAAAAGCCATTCAGTTGTGACCTGTGTGGCCGTAAATTTGCTCGCTCAGATGAGAAAAAGCGTCATGCCAAAGTCCATTTAAAACAAAAGGTTAAACGAGAATCTAGAGGTCATTCAAATTCATCTCGATCCTCCCGATCTGCAGCAGCAGCAGCCGCAGCGGCCGCAGCGGCATCGTCATCCTCAACAGCAGCCTCTGCGTCTTCATCTGGTTCATCTTCAGTAACAGTCGCAGCAACCGTAACTCTTACAGCAGCTACAACCTTAGATCATCAACTACACCAGCACCAACACATGTCGAGCCAGCAGCAGCAGCAACAGCAGCAACAACAACAGCAACAGCAGCAGCAGCAACAACAACAACACCATCATCACCATCATCAACAACAACAACAACAACAACATCAGCAACAACAACACCAACAACCACAATATCATCAACATTATCACCATCAACAATCCCAACAAAGCCAACATCATCATCTACTCCAACAACAGCAACATCAACAAGCGCAACAATAATTTGAAACGAAAGATGAGATTCACTTGGAAACATAGAACAATCAAAAAGCTAAATTTCTTAATCCTAATCAATGTCTCTCAATCCTTCAACAAATTTCCTAAAATTGGTTGTTATTAATTTTACTATTTCATGGTTTCCTCTTTAACTGGTGTACCAATAAGGCTAAATGTTTGGTTGGACCCAACAATCAAAAACCTTTACACTCAAAACAAATCATCTATTTTAATGTTTCTCTTTTTTCCTTCTTCATCTCTTTGCCTTGCTATTATCAAATTATTAACTATCGTTGATTATTGTTTGCCAAACATACAAACACTCATATTGATCACTCCTTGACAATGCACATTAATTTACACACACACACATATACTTTAACTATCATTAATTGTGAAGAAATCATTTTTTCACCGATAAAGCCTCACACACACACACAATTATATAAATGTAATATTCTTACCGCCATTGCCTCACCCCTTCTTTATCGTCCATCTTCTTGTCCAGTTAAATCCTCAATTTGTTTACTATTTCTTCCTATCAACTCAAATTAATTATAATTATTACTATTAAATACGTTGACAAACACCTTCCCCGCAAACACGCATTTTAATCAACAACTCAAATCATCTTCAACTTTAAGCCTTTTCAATCCTTCAATCCTTTGTTTAACACTTTTTTCAACTGTGACTTTTGACAACAATCTTTGGTATCTCTATTAATTAATCAACTATGATATATTGTCATGAAACATGAAATGTTTTCACCTTGATAATTGTTTTCAATTTCAATCAATTGTAATTATATTTTCTTTCCTCTCCAAACATTTCCCTTAATCAACACTCAACAAAACCTAAATGGCAACATTTCTGGTGGACAACAATTGGAAGCAAATTGAAATTTCAAAAAAAGGTCGGACGGTTAATCAGGGTTTAAGCTGGATCCAATTATTAAATTAATTCAATGAGACAAAAAATTGATATAAAAAAAACAAAATAAACCTTAAACGAATTGATTTTTACAAATAAACATACAAAGCTCATCCTATGATTATATACATTATATACAATTGTTAATCACTATGAACCAAGCAAACCTTGTAAAACTATCTGATTGAAACAACAAAACCTTACAATTAACTTCTCAATTAAAGTTTGATTATTTTTCTTTTCCTTTTTTGTTTCTCTTCAAATAAAGTGTAAAATGTGAATGAATAATGAACAAATCATAATCCAACTTATTCAATGCAATTCGGTGTAAAAAACTCAATCTATTGACCATTTACGATGATTATTAGCTAGCCTTTCAAACTAGCCATTAAATCTGTATTAGGAAAGATTAACCATTGGACAATTGTATTGGATTTAAACACAAGGGCGAAACTGGATTCTAATAACTTGGAGTAACTGGCTGATAGGTTTTGAATAAATGTTAATGTTACCCAATTTAATTGCCTGAATGCTGGTTACCTTCACTGGTTCAACACTTAACATGTAATCCTAAGGGTAATCAGTTAAATTGATAAAGTTATCGTAAAAATTGAACAAAGAATCGCACATTAACATTACAAATGTCAAACTCCTACACAGTGTTAATCAAACGGAATCAATTTTTTAAATTTCTCCTAATTTGGTCAACAGTTTGGTTACAAATCAACCAAAAACAAGCAAATCAAGGTTCTCTTAATGCTTTATAATTTATAGCTTAATGGGTTAAAGATTCCTAATCATTGGTAAAAACCTTGATTTTTCTGGTATTATCTTTAGTAAAATGATCACAATTTAAGGCCATTTCCTCGAGTCAATTTAGTTTGCTCAGAATGGTTTATAATTTGGTTAATCAGTTGAAGGAGTGAATGTGATTGATGTTTGAGTTGTTGTCCGACTTTTGTGCTTTATTAATATTTTATAAACCAATTCACATTGGGTTTGGCTTCTTTTCCAGTTATTTATCTATTATTCAAATTATTCAGCCAAATTATTCTGCTTTTTATCTTCAATCAACTCCTAAATTAAATGTTATTTCAATACTCAACTGGGAGTTTATCTGAAGATGGGCTAATGATGACAACCAAATATGGCTGATAATAATACTTATCAACAATACTTTTCATCTTCTCCTACATGCTTATTGTGTTGATGGTTTTGATAACTTGTTTCTTTAAGGCAATTTTCCAATTCAAAGGTTAATATATTCAAATGTAAAACAACTATAGATCACAATTTGATTACTTGGATCTTATAAAACTGTCTAATTAGCAACAAAATGAAAATATTTCCAACCCGAGGTGATGTGTCAAAATAGCAAAACAACATTAAGAATTATGAGTCAAGAAGTTTAATGAAAATCTAACCCCAATTGTATTTTGTATTCATTTGTTTTATTCTGGCAATTATTTTCTCATCAAGTTTTTTTTCATCAAATTGTTTAATTAAGACATTAAATCAAGTTTGTCAAATCTAGTAACTCATAATGTCTACTGTGAGAATCTCAGTTGAATCTCACTGAAATTTTGTGTTCAACTTTGGTCTTTCTTTCAATTGAATACTAAGGTGTCGTAGGAAGAGGACTGACTGGAGGATTGGAGGTCCAACATACCAGTAACCGGAACGTGGAATGACTCTGGAACAGGAACTATTGGATCGGCAACTGATCCTCGATTAGCAGGATAACATTCACCAGTCTTTGGTTGAGGAGTGGTGGTTGAAGCTGCCCGGTAACGGTCAAGTTTTACTCTTATGAACAGTTCAAAAAGTTGGGATAAATCACTGTTCAACGGGTTTCCTGTTGCTTCTAGAGATGGACGATTTCCGATCACAGAGGTGATCAATCTTTTGAACGATCTTCTTAAATAAAGCGATTTTAACTTTAGCGATACCAGCGTTTATTTTCACCATTTTTTACACGAAAACACGTTAAAAGACAAGCTTAGTCGATCTTATGATATCGAGCAGAAGATGAGCCGATATGATTGATCTTTTGAAAGTTGATCTCGAGCAATTTTACTCTTCGATATCGGAACAACTCTAGTTGGTTCGGCTCCAATTCGCTTTTCTTCGAATTGATTTCCAAGTTAAGTTAAAGGCAATCCTTGGGGTACCTGGATAAAAATTTATCTTGAAGGAACTTAAGAAACCGACTTTCTGTTGTTGGTCTCCCTGATGATGACGGATCAACTTTCATACTCTTATTTCTTGTTTTTTTGTAACATTTGTCGTTCATTCTTTATATAAATAGATCTGTTATCACCCAAAATTAACTTTAGATACATTTGTTCTTTCAGTTTCAAGCTCAAAGAATCTAACTTCTTAAAGCCTATCCATCGCTCTCCATCTTAACAGATTTTTCAGTTTTACCAGATTGTCTAACATAACTAAGAATAGCTTTGAAACCACCTGGTAATTTACTAGCATCGATCTCAGGAATAACAAGATCATCTATTTCAGGAACATGAACTATTGGTAATCTATCATCATAAATTAAGAAGTTTTTACTAAGAAGACACAATAAACACAATTGTCATATTTATGAACGCATTGACAAGCAATTGAAACAAAACGGCTCAAAAACGGGTGCAAATGAATTGTTTGAAAATTTAGTCTTTGATAGTTTGCTGGGACATGAGAACTGAATACATTAGGGCGATTTAAAATTGCATGGACCAACAGTTGGCGAGAAAATCGATTCCAAAGTTGAAACTTCGATTGCCTTTTGTACAATTATGGGAACAGACTTTTCCATGAAACTTATTCTCCTGTTGTAACTTTTGATTGCCCACCAGAAAATAAACTCATTTTGAGCAGTAAACGTTTTTGTTTCTGAACAAATCAATAAGTTCGATTTTCATTTAAACCTTCCGTATTCTGAGACCGTATGAGTTTGAGGGCTGAAACTTGTTATTAGTTTATAAAAATTATTAGTATACACCATGAGTCGACAACTTTTCCCGATTTGTGGACAGTTCTTTTGATTCTGGACTTTGACATAAAAAGTTTGAGTCTCAATATTTCGAGAATAGCAGCTCATACCATCGTAATTCTTTGATTAAACATTAGATTCTATCATAAACGATAATGTAATCAAATTTAGATCCATTCAAGAGACCAAATAAAAAGCTATACCATTTTATTGCTTACGTTGTGCGATTTGATACATTCATTTGATTTATTTACTCTTATGAAGGTGAATAGTGTAGAAAAGACAAATCTTATGTTATTTTAGAGGGATATTCATCACTAAATGACTTAACTCGAGTTTTTTTCGGTATTTAGTCATATCATGTTATTACCAATAACAAAGTCAAATGTTTAATCGAAAAATGGGGATTGTAGGTACTATCATTCTCGAAATATTGAGACTCAAACTTTTTAGATCAAAGCCCAGAATCAAGAGAACTATCGACAAATTGTGAAAAGTTATAGACTCATGATATGTACCGATAATTTTTATTGACGAATATTAAGTTTAGTCCTCTAACTCTTATGGCCATAGAATACGGAAGGTTTGAATGAAAATCGAACTTGTCTAATTTTTCAGAAACAGAAAATTTTATTTCTCGAAATGAGTTTATTTTCTGGTTGGCAATTGAAAATTACATCACACAAATAAATTTCATGCAAAAATCTTGTTCCTTAAATGCACAAAAGGCGATCGGAGTTTCAACTTCGAACTCAATTTTTTCAGAAACTGTTGCTCGGAGAAATTTAATAATCACACAAATGGACTCGGTTTTTCTGCTTGTACAATAGTAATGCTGTTGATAGAGTTGTTAATAAAAAGTCTCAATTAAAACAACAGTAACATTTATACACAAATCGATACAAATGCTGGAAGAAAAATAGGCAGAAAAGGATAAAAATGAATTTCATGCAAATTTATTATTTAGTAATTTGTAGAGACATGAGAACTGAGTCAGTAAGTGCGGTTAAAAAATTCCAGCGACCCACAATTGCCGAGAAAATCGATTCCAAAGTTAAAACTTCGATCGTATTTTGCGCGATTTTGGGACAAGATTTGTACATGAAACTTATTTTCCTTATGTTACTTTTGATTGCCAACCAGAAAATGGACTTATTTTAAAGAATAAAATTTTCAGTTTCTGAACAAATCGATTTGTTCGATTTTCAGTCAAATAGATCTCTTTGAGTGACCGTAAGACTCAGAGGTTTGAAACTGATTATTAGTACATAAAAATTGGCGGTACACATCATGAGTCTTTAAATTTTAACGATTTGTGGACAGTTCTCTTGATTCTGGGCTTTGACCTAAAAAGTTTGAGCCTCAATATTTCGAGAATGGTGGTACCTAAAATCGCCATTCTTTGACCAAACATTAGATTTTGTTATTGGTAATAACATAATATGAATTGATACCGAATAAAGTTTCAGATAAGTCATTTAGTGATGAATATCCATCTATAACATCATAAGATTTGTCTTTTCTCAACCATTTACCTTTATAAGAGTAAATAAAGCAAATAAATGTATTAAATCGCACAACAGAGATTACAAAATGCTATAACTTGTTTGTTTTGGTTTCTTGAATCATCGGAAATTTCATTATGTTTTAGTTCAGAATAGAATCTAGTGTTTGGTCAAGGAATAGCGATTGTAAATGCTACCATTCTCGAACTATTGAGGTTCAAAATTTTTAGACAAATGGCCAAAATCAAGAGAACCGTTTTTCCTTTGAAAAAATTATTTGTTCGCTAATGTGTACAGGCAAGTTTTATGGATTCAGGATAAGTTTCAGTCCTCTAACTCATGTGGTCACAGAATGATGAAGGTTTAACTTAAAATCGAATTTAGTTATTTTTTCAGAAACAGAAAACTTTATTTCTTGCAATAAGTTTATTTTCTGGTCAACCATCCAAAGTTACATCAGACAAATAAGTTTCATGGAAAAATCTGTTTTCATAATTAGACAAAAAGCGATCGAAGTTTCAACTTTGGACTCGATTTTCTTGCCAACTGTCGGGCGGAGAAATTATATCATCACATGAATGGACTCGTTTCTCATGTCTCATACAAACTAACAGAGTCTGGATTTCAAAGAAAGTAATTTAGACTCGTTTTGCCTATCGTGCATAAAATATAACAATTGTATAAATTGTGTTCGATTTCAAGTTAAACCTTCATCATTCTGTGACCACATGAGTTAGCGGACTGAAACT